ATATCAGGATCTGAGCACGCTGCCAGCCCCAGAGTGCTGCCAGGGATGTGCTGGAAGCTTTAAGTGCTCCTCAGCCCTCTGGGCATCCCAACGCATCCCATTGTTCTTTATTTTATTTATAACTTCCCTTATTTTATTTATAACCATACAGAGGCTTGGTGGTGATGATCAAAAGCCTCTCCTGACTAAGTGGAAGGTCAGGAATTAACTATAATTTTTAAATAGTGGAGGTCAGAGTAGGATCCAGTTCAATAATTCCATCCTGAAAACTTGGCACCCTGGAACCGGAGCATGGAACTCATGATTAGGAAGAAGGAGAGGATAAACCATGTAAAGAACATTCCCAGTATAAAATCTGTACCTCCAAAAATGAAGCTGATTTATGGCAGCCAAAAAAGCAGCTGGATCAGGAGCCATGGTGTGGGAGTTGCTTGAATGAGTGTGAGAGTGTGGCCAAGCCCAGAAGGCAGCAGACAAGCTGGCACAGGGAGGGATGACTGGGGAATTCTCCATCAGGAATTCCTCAATAAATTTGCCATTATTAATTGCAGCCTGGCCCAGCTCAGTGCTGCTCAGGAATCCTCACCCCAAAATGCTCAGTGTGGTGCTCACCAGACGAGCAGGAACTGCCATCACTTGTAGCACCTCTCCCAAAAAATAATTGGGAGAAGCCCTTTAGATTTTGGCTTGAGCAGCAGGAGCTGCTGTGAGCTGTGACTCAGGGCATTCCCAGCCCCAGCAGGAGAGCTCTGTGCTATTTCTGCTTGGGCACTGCTCCTGTTCTCTGCTCCCCAGCCCTCCTTTTCCCTGCTTTTCCCCGGGCCTTTACCACTGGGAATGTCTTGTGTCAGGTTGTATTCCTGTTTGCTCCCTTCCCTTCCCTTAATTTCTCCTTTTTTCCTCCCCTGCTAAACAAGTCAGTCATGTTCCATTAGCATCTCCTCTCTGGGCACGAGGCTGGCCCTTTGTACCCTCCTTCCTCTCTGCATCCATGGATTGCTCTGCTTTAACCTACATCCATCCTTGAGAGGGAGGAGCAGCCTCTGTTGGTACCACACCTATTGTTCCATCTGTTTTAAACAGAGCAGAGCTGTAATTTGGGCTTGGACACAGAGCTGGCAGGTGAGAGGTGCCAATTCCAGCTCTGCAAGTTGCCTGGCATGGGTTTGCCAGTGCTGAGCTGCATCCCTGGCATCTTGTCCATAAAAATGTGGGAGTTTTTTGCTCTTTCACCGAGTCCATGCAGTGCTGGGTGGTGGAAAAGCAAACTAAAGGTGCAGCAGAGCTTCAGGAGCCATTCCTGGGTCCTGGCTGCAGGAATTGCCCTCGGACAGACTGCCTGTCCCATGGGGGTGTTGTGTCCCTTTGTGATGGTGTTCACAGGGGTCCCAGGATGAGGGAAGAGACCAGGATCTGACTCCATGCTTCAGAAGGCTGATTGATTATTTTATTATATATATATTACATTAAAACTGTACTAAAGGAATAGAAGAAAGGATTTCATCAGAAGGCTGGCTAAGAATAGAATAGCAAAGAATGATAACAAAGGTTTGTGGCTTGGGCTCTCTGTCCCAGCCAGCTGACTGTGATTGGCCATTAATTAGAAACAACCACAAGAGATCAATCCCAGGTGCACCTGTTGCATTCCACAGCACAGATAATCAATGTTCACATTTTCTTCCTGAGGCCTCCCAGCTTCTCAGGAGGAAAAATCTTAAAGAAAAGATTTTTCATAAAAGATGTCTGTGACATCCCTTCTCTGCGTCCAGCCCCTCCTGCTGTCCCTCAGTGCTTTTCCACCACCCCGTTGTGTCCTTCCCTGTCCCTCACTGTCCCACTGTGTCCCCCTGAGTCCCCTCCTGTCCCTCACTGTCCCGTGCTGTCCCTCCTGTCCCGTTGTGTCCCTCCTGTCCCTGACTGTCCCGGTGTGTCCCCTGAGTCCCCTCCTGTCCCTGACTGTCCCGGTGTGTCCCTCCCTGTCCCGTTGTGTCCTTCCCTGTCCCTCACTGTCCCACTGTGTCCCCCTGAGTCCCCTCCTGTCCCTGACTGTCCCGTTGTGTCCCTCCCTGTCCCCATTGTGTCCCTCCTGTCCCTGACTGTCCCGGTGTGTCCCTCCCTGTCCCGTTGTGTCCCTCCCTGTCCCGGTGTGTCCCTCCTGTCCCTGACTGTCCCGTGCTGTCCCTCCCTGTCCCGTTGTGTCCCTCCTGTCCCTGACTGTCCCGGTGTGTCCCTCCTGTCCCTGACTGTCCCGGTGTGTCCCTCCTGTCCCTCACTGTCCCGTGCTGTCCCTCCCTGTCCCGTTGTGTCCCTCCTGTCCCTGACTGTCCCGTTGTGTCCCTCCTGTCCCTGACTGTCCCTG